TTTCATTAAGAGCATAGGTTTTTATTATGGTTCTCTTCTCTTGGTCATTTGATGCTTTAATTGTTATAGGATGTTCTTTATTTCCTTAAGCTGGTCATTGCCTTAAACTCTGCTTTTATCAGAAACGAGTATTGCCATTCCTGCTCGTCTTGTATTGCTATTAGAGTGATTTTTTTTTTTTTCTCACTTTGTGTGTAATGTGTGTCGCTTGTAGCATCATATTTAAAAATTATATTTCCTTATCCCATCTGTTACTCTCAATCTGTTGACTGGTACATTGAACCCATTGACTATCAGTGTAATTATTGATAGCAGTAATTGACTGCTGTCACTTTGCTGTTTGCTTGTTGTTGTTGTTGTTGTTTTGTGTATATGTGTGTGGTGCCACATAATTTGTTCCACATAATTTTCTGTGCTGACTTCATTTTGTTTATCATTGTTTATATATTTGTTTGTTGATGTTGTTTTAATGTTTATGGAACTTTTATGAATTTCCTTTTTTATTTTGATGAGAAGGTTTATTCATTTTCCTTGAGACTACCCTGTAATCATGTTTGGTAAGGTGGAGGGTCAGAGAAAAAGAGGAAGACCCCAACGAGATGGATTGGCCAAGTGGCAGCATTGAGGGACTCAAGCATGGCAACAGTAGTGAGGTTGGCCCAGGATTGGGCAGTGTTTCGTTTTTGCTGTGTATAAGGTCGCTATGGGTCGGTACCAACTTGATGGCACCTCACAACAACTACAACAACAACCCTGTAATTTATTAATTTTCCCCAGTATAAAACAGTCTGTTTTATCTTGAAATCTACATAACTTCCTTGTTGTATGGGGATTCTGTAACTCCACTGTTGTTAAGTGCTGTAGAGTCAATTCTGACTCATAGTGACCCTGTGTCAGGTTTTTGAGGAGCAGCTGGTGCGTTTGAACTGCTGGCCTTGTGGTTCACAGCCCACTGTTGATCCTACAGCACCATCCCAGTAACTACACTATTTCCTCTTTTTGCTTTGCGGTTGTTTTCTTGCAGATTGGTATCTCAGGTTCCATTATTTTCAGTCTTGTAGGTTTGTTTTCCTTTGGATCTTTTTATATTTGGGTTGACTTCTGGGTATTGTTATGTATGGTCTGGTGGTGTTGGCTTTCTGTCCAGAAAACTGTCTTTAGCACTTTTTGTAAAGTTGGTCTGGTTGTTACAAATTCCTTTAATTTCTGTTTATCTGTAAATGCCCTATTTTCACCATCATATGTAAGAAACAGTTTTCTTGGGTATACAATTCTTGGTGAAGTCCTGGGGTGGCGTTTTATGGTAAGTCATGGACTGGTAAGCAGTAGGGCGCTTTAAACCCACCAGCTGGTCCTTGGAACCCTGTACACAGGATCTCCTGTGAGTCAAAGCTAACTCTGTGTCCCTAACCAATAACAACATGATTCCTGGTGGGCAGTTTTTCTCTTTCAGAGTTTTATGTATGTTATCCCATTGCCTTCTTGCCTCCATGGTTTCTGCTGACAAACTCAGAGCTTAGCCTAGTTAGTTGCTGTTTATAGTAAGTTTCATTTGCTTTGGTGCTGCTCTTCTCCTTTGGTTTTAGAAACTTTGATTTTCATGTGACCTGGTGATTTTCTTTCTCATCTGTTCTATTCTGTTTGGGGTTTGTTCAGTTTCTTGAATGCTTCCTTATCTTCTTGTCTTTCATAATATTAGGGAAGTTTGGTTCCAACAGCTCTTCATTTTTCTCTGTTCATTTATTTATTTTTGTTTATATATATTTTGTTCATTTATTATATTTATTTATTCTGTTCTGGAAATTGATCACCTATAAGTTATTGCTCTTGGTGGTATCCTACACAAAGCTTAGGCTTTCTTTGAAATTTTTCTTCTTTTAACAAGTAGCAGCAAGAAAAAGAATATTGTAAGTAAAAAGGGAAAGGAAAATAATTCTGTGGAAGAGAAAAAAAAGAAAAAGCAAGAATCAAAACTAGGGATATGGAAGAAGAAAAGAGAAAGGGAGTTGTAAAGAAAAATCAAGAGGATCAAAAAGAGAGACAGAAGCAAAGTAGACAAAAGAAAGGGTAAACAACAAGGAAAGGGCAAGAAAACTATAAAGAGGTGGGGCAATGCCAAACAACAATAAAGGGGGCAGAAAAAGCAAGACTGCCTGGACACAAAGAGGAGAAATCCAGGGGCTCTGCCAGCCTAGAGGCTCACTAGTTTGTAGGGCAGGGATAAGTGTGTGGTGCCTGGCCCCTGGAGGAGTTCCTGCAGGCCTAGGTGGTGTCTGTAGTCATGGCACCCAATTTATAAATAGTTTACACAGGCAGTGATAATGGCTGCTCAAAGGGTCCTTGCCTTTGTTCCCAGATGGAACTCTTTCCCAGCCTGATGATGCCTGGGGGCAGCGTGGCTGGTGATGAGAGTTCCTGCTAGTCTAGGGCAGGCCAGGAAGGGACTCTGAGAATTCTGCTGTTTCAAAAGTGTCAAGTTCTCCCTCCTGCAGCCACCAGAGTGGTACAGCTTGCACCCAACTCAAAGCAGCCTGTCTGACTTCCAGCTGAGCAAGGGCTATGCAGGGAGAGGCAGAGGGCAGGGGCTGGCCACCCATCTGTCTTCAGGAGAGTGCGGGAACATGAGAGAATCTCACCTTTCTCATCTCCAGCCACCGGTGTGCATCCATCAGGCCACCATCTGGATCTGCTGATGTTTGGAAAAGTTCAAGATGGCCACACCTAGTCAGGCCAGCAGACTGTTTACCAGTGTAGTGCCTTTCTTGGCACTCCTCTTCAGTTTCTTTCCCTAGTCAGTATTCAGTTCTCTAGCCTTTCCCTCTGAAGCTCAGGGTTCAAGATTATTATTGGTTCCATTCTGTATCTTGTTTCTCTGGTGTAGAGGGTCTGTGTAGCATGTCTACCTAGTCTGCTATCTTGTCCCCTCTCTCGATTTTTGCTCTACATAATTTTGGACTCTCTTTTTAGGTGTGTGTACTTTTGTCCTGGTCATATCTGCCTTGTATCCTGAGCTTCCTTTTCTTTAGGAAGCTTTTACCCGTCTCTTTTGTAGGGTACTTACAGAGCCTCTTTAGGGAACTGTATTGCATGTGTTTTTTCTCCTTTTTATTTTGACATATTTATGTTTCGGGATCAAATTTTTTTTCTTTTTGACACAGCGTATTGCTGGATCTTGCTTTTGTTTATTTGTTTTGATCCAATCTGGAAACCTCTGTCTTTTGATTGGATATAATGCAATTATTTGGATCCTGGCATGGCACTAGAGAATAAGCACTGAGCTGATAACCACAAGGTCAGTGGTTCAAACCCATCAACCTGTCCTCAGAAACCGCATACAGAATCTCTATGAGTCAGAACCAACTGGACAACAACAACGTACTTATTTATGTGGTTGGATTTACATCAACCATTTGGTTACTTCTTTTTTCTATGTCCCATGCTTTATTTTTTTGTGTTGGTCTCTTATTTTACCGCCTCCTTTCGAGGTACATAGATAGACTTTAGCTTACCATTTAATACCTTTTAATTGTTGTTGTTTTCTTGTTGGTTGCTCTACTGATTGCAGTATTCAGTTTTATCATAAATTGCTTCAAATTAATATTAAATCAAATATGAATATTTAGCCTTGTTGCATCTCGTTTTCCCCTTTCTTTGTACATTTAACTTTAGGTACACAATTATACATCATCAGTGGGGTTTGCAATAATTGTTTTAAGCACCTTTATAGATCCCTGCTGTGGAGCTGTAGGATCGCCACTGGACTGCAAACGCTAAGGTCGTCAGTTCAAACCCACCTGACGCTCCTTGGAATCTCTATACAGGGTCACTATGAGTTGGAATCGACTCACTGGCACTTAACAACAACAACAACATGTCCTGTTTGCCCAAAGGTACTTGGGAAGAAAGGTCTGGTGATCTACTTCTAAGAAGTCAGCTTTGAAGCCTCCCCTCCCCCACCCCGATGATGCTCTGTAGTTGCGTACTCCAGTCCCAGGGCCACCCTGTGACTCTGACTCCTCACACACAATACTCCCTCGGCCAGGCTCTCTCTGCTGCCCCACTTTCTTCTGTGAATTCACACCCATCCTGACCTGTTACTTCCTGAGACAAGTCCCTTCTTCCTGACATCACACGATCCTGACTGTTGAGACCTGACCTGACTTGGTTTGTACAGCAGAGCACACTTTGATTTATGTGGGAGATGTCTCTTAATGATCCTTCATAGACGCTGGCGGTTGTGAGGAAGAAAGGAGAAGTCAGGACAAACCGCTAAGTTTCTTAGTTAAACATCAGACTGAGCATGTCTGTGGAAGAAGGTTAGAGCAGGTTCTTAAGAAGAGGATGATAGGTGTGTTTTCAGAGATGTTAAATTCCAGCTATTGTGGTGGTGGTTGTTGTTAAGTGCCATTGAGTTGGTACTGACCTATAGCGACCCTGTTTAGGGTTTCCAAGCTGTGGCTGATGAGCTTGAACTGCCATTGTTACAGTTCAAACTGACCTTGCAGTCCAACGCATTAACCCATAGTGCCACACACACACCAGGACTACACTGAATACGTATGGGGAGAAATTGTGTGTCTGGTTCCTCAACTCAGGAGCGCGAACTTGACCTTGTGCATGGTTTTCTCCTTTCCTGGGTCCTTACTTGGCATATAGCGTGGTGCTCCACAGATGTTCCTTGCCTTGTAAATAACTATTCCCATATATTGGATACATGGTATTTTTATGTGATCGTAAAAGAGTCACATGGAACATATGGCCTGGGGGAGGGGTTATGGACGATACTGAAAAGACTAGTTGGATAAATATCCTTTTGGACTTCCCCACCTAGTTTTTAGAAATTGACACATTTTCATTTTTAACAAACCTGGATCTTGTTTTGTGAATTCGGCTACATTCCTGTCTTTTTATATTAAATAAAAACACAACATTTTGTTTTTATCCTAAGTCCATTCCTCCTTTTAGCCTGAGGTGAAGTCTGCTCTCATTTCCCCCTCTAGGACTATAATGATGAAATCAGGCAAGCACAGCTTCAGGAATTGACATACCTGAATGGTGGTTCCGAAAATGCTGACGTTCCAGTGGTTCGAGGGAAGACCCCCTTGCGTACAAGAGGTGTACCAACCCCAGCAGTAACCAGGTAGGTGTAATTCATTGATTTTCATAGTTTTAGATCAGCATGCCGTGACAACACTTTCAATGTTTTCTGTTGTTGTTATGTGCCGTGGAGTCGGTTCCGACTCATAGCGACCCTGTACAGGGTTTCTGAGGCTGCAAATCTTTACGGGAGCAGAAAGCCTCATCTTTCTCCTGCGGAACAGCTGGTAGTTTCAAACTGCTGACCCTGAGGTTTACAGCCTGATCCGTAATCACTATGCTACCAGAGCTCCTGTTTTCTGTACTAATACCAAAAACAGCTCTATGAGTTCGTCAGTGTGATGTCAGTGATGTGTCATGCTCAGTGGATTCACTTTGAAGTAAGATACTCCTGGGCTTACATAGAATCACTGCCACTCACAGGAGGCCTGTAGGATAAGCGGTTCAGACCAACCAGCCGCTCCTCGAACACCGCTGCCTGTGGGAACCGATTTGACCCAAAACCGCTACAGTCAGTCGCTAGATGCTGACTTCATCACTGTGCTGTTCATTCTACAATTCTGTGGCTTAGCACTGGCCTGCAGATTGAAGTCACAGGCGGGAGTCCAGGAGGGGCTGTTGTTTTACTCATTGTCCAGACCTGTGGTGTGTGAAAGCTATGGGGCTGGTGCCTGGCACTCATCACTGGGTTTTCTGTTTCTGGATTGGTGGCTATTTTTTATAGGAAAAACTCTTAAACGCAAGGTATTGAATATCTCAAATTCTTGTCAGTAGGAAGTTATTTTTACTAGTTAACTCTTTTTCACCCAGAAGTCATCAGTGGAATGGAGGAAGGCAAATTTATCAATGAAACTGATGCCTATGTGCATGCTTTCAGGTAGAAATTTACATGAAATCAATTAGAATAACATTCATCTGAATCTCTAAGTGTATTTGGGGGAAATAAAAGGTCAGGTCTCTCCCTGGACTATTAGTGATCAAGGCTGTGTCCTAGAGATTACCGACAACATAAAATGAACCTAGACTTGGGCACAGGACCAGAGTCTGTTAAGCCTGTTTCCACCCAATGAAAGTCTGCCGGTTCTAATCCACCCAGAGGTACCTTGGAAGAGAGATCTTCTTGGGAAAGTTCACAGCATAGTTTTACTCTGAAACTCAGATCACCAGGAGTTGGAATTCACTTCCTGGTGACCAGCGATGGCAGTCTGTGTTGAAGTCGCCCACCAGGGTGGCTCTCGGCCTTTACAAAGGACAGGACATGGGAAATAGACCCCTAATGAGTTCTCATGTGGAGTTGTAACTGGAAGCTCTCCTGGTGCTTTCATTTGGACTGTTTTATTGAAGGACAAGGACAGAGACCAAAAAGCAATTACAATTCATGTTCGGCCTCATTTTACCCTTTAGCAACGGCAATGCAAAGTCTGGAGTCCTGGTCGGACGCTGTAGGATCAGCACTGGACTTCGAACCACAAGATCATCGGCAGTTCAAACCCAGAAACTGCTTCTTGGAAACTCTATACAGGGTCACTGTGAGTCAGAGCTGACTCAATGGCTCTTAACAACAACAGCAATGCAGAGTCTGGTGGAGAGAGGGTTTGTAAACATCCAGAATTGTTGTGCTTACTTCTCCATTTTATGAGCAGCAGCAGGTGATAGCAGGAAATGCCGTGTGGTAGCAGCGGCACGAGCACACCAGCTCACACCAGCTCACGCCACCATGACTCACTCACCAGGTGCCCTTGGGAAGCACAAGACTCCAGCGTGGGCACCTGAAGACTTTAATGAGCTGCCCAGGGGGCTGTGCCCCGACGCAGTCACAACTGAAGGATCATTTTCTTTTCCCTTGTGAGTCCGTAGCTCGTTTCGCAACCTTTCTTCATCTCTGTGAGAGGGTTTTTCTGAGGTGGTTGTTTTATTTCTTGCCTGGTGTTCACGGGCTTTGAGAGGTGATGAGACAGCTGGAACCTCTCTGAGCAGGCAGGGTGGCTCAGGGAGCTCGTCCCCTGAGCGTCCTCGGGGTCATCTGGGCTGTGGCCATCCACACACCTCACCTAGAGGGCAGAGTCTGAGCAGCAGGTTGAGTGGGGGTGGGTGGGTGGAGGTGCCGTTGCCACGGGTCCACGGTCCACATTGTGAATGGCTGGGTGTCCAGTCCAGCGGTCCGAGCCCTGCCGTGCCACATGTTGGCAATGACTTGTCCTTATTCTCTGTTCTGTGCAATGTCCAATGCAGTGCCTTTGCTTCTCTTTTGCTGACCAACTGCATTGCGAGCGTCCGTTGCATAGAACAGAGGAGAGGTGTTCTAAAAAAGGCAATTTGTTTCTTCTCCAACAAGGTCCAGATTTGCTGTCTGCTGAGAGGATAAGACAGTGTCTGAGGAAGTATATCTCCTTAGGGTGGGAAGCTCTGCTTTACCTTCCTTCTCCTCTAGCTTCCTTCTCATTCCTTAGGGAGAAGCCTGGGGCATTGTCCTCTCACTCTGATTGTTAGCATATGGTTACTTTTCTTTCCCTTTGTTTGTAAACACAAAGGAATGAAAGTCTGTCTCTGTCACTTTTTGTGATCTGCCTTATATTGAGAGCTCTGGAGCGCTGGCTTCTTGTGTCTGATAACATTGACATGCACCAGGAAGGAGGTTTCAGAGACAGAAGTGAATTAGTTACCCTAGGTCCTAGTGGGAAGGGTTGCTTAATTATGGGTGTTACAGGAATTCAGTTGTCAGTGTGGGTGTGTTTGAATACAGTACTCAGCATAGTCATCCTGGTCCAGACTGGGTCTGAACTGGACACTGAAGACAAGCTGAGTAGGATTTCATTAAGTGTTGGCTCAATTGCCTGGCTTCCTAAGATGAAACAACTGAGGAGAGCTGGGGCCGATTCTAGGACCTTAGGTTTTCCCATGGTCTCCTCTGTCCCGGATATCAGTCTATGGGCCCTCTCCTGCCTTAATCCTTTCGCATCCTAAAGTTGTCCCACCTGCTTGCCCAGGAGGTTCAAACCAACCTTAAGGTTCAGTGCATTATCCTACAGTGCCACACCAGTTATGACCAAGAAAGAAATTCTTTACCTGCACTTACTCTTCATAAGAAAGAAGAAAAAGGATAAGATACATTTTAATATTGATTGGTAGATTGATATAAATCATACAGCATACTGGGTGAAATACTTATGGTTTTGACATTAACTATTCCGTTTTTCTGCTAATTTTTTTTTATAACTTCACAGACAATAGGAAAAGACTTCATTTTCAGTGATTCAGACAGTGTTTGGACATCTATGATGTCATTGTACATGCATTTTATAAAAGGACTATTATTTTATGTGTCTAATATTTTGCTCTTTATACACTTAAGAAAAGGGTTTTAAATGGAGTTAAGAACATTTATATGAGATAATCCACAGAATAAAATGCAAAGGGACTTCAAAAAATTTGTGGAAAAAATGGATTAAAAGGCTAATGGAATCTTTTCCATGAATTTTTTGAAGCTCCCTTGTATGATATTCTAATTTACATCCAAGGAAGTTTAGCCAAAATAAGTATGTGTCTCCTTCTAGTCATATATAGGCAGACATTTACAAATAATCAACAGATGTGAGTTATGTAATTAAAGATCCTAGTGAAAATTGTGTCCTTTTTATAAAAAAAAACTGGCCTAGGTCCTTTTTTTTTTCTCTTTGAAAAAACTGTTTGGATATGTGTTAGATGTTAGAGAACAGATGATTCTGGGTGCAGGGCTGGGTAGGGGGAGGAGTTGTTGTTGTTAGGTGCCATCGAGAACATTCCAACTCATCGCAGACCTGTGTCCACAGAGCAAAGTCCTGCCCAGTCCTGCACCACCATCCCAGTTGTTGCTTCAGTTCACTGGGAGCCCTGGTAAGAAAACTGCCCACCCAGTCCAGCACCAACCCCACAATAGTCTTCATCCACTTAGTCCCCCTCCCTCTGCACCTGGACTGTGGTGGTTAGCGTGCATCAGGCAGTGTGCACGCTCTGTGTCCTCACAGAGCCCAGCCTCCAACTTGCCGGTGGGCATGGGCAGTGGCATGTTGGGAATGACACGGAAGGAAAAGGTAACTGTGTCTTCTACTGTCCAACTGGTCTTCTCAGCTCTAATTTCTAGCCTTGGATTTGTATCTTATGACAACCTGGACTTAACAGACCTCTGTTAAGTGAATTTGATGCAGGTGAGTAACCTCTTTCCTGAGGTGGTGCTTTAGGATAATACGCTGGACTGCTAGGTCAGTTTGTTCCACAATCGGCGATTCAAACTCACCAGCTGCTCCTAGGAAACCCTACATAGGGCCACTATGAGTCGGAACTGACTTGACAGCACTTTCCAACAACCGTCCTTGGACTCCTGGTGTGGCACTGTAGGATCAACACTGGACTGGGAACCACAAGGTCGGCAGTTCAAAATGATCAGGCACTCTGCAGGTGAAGCATGAGGCTTTCTTTCCCATAAAGGTTTATATTATACCCTCGGGAACTTTATGGTGGCTATGGGTCAGAATCGAGCTAATGGTAGTGGGCCATTACCTGCAGGGTTTTCCCTGATGACAGCTCTTTTTATACAAAAACAGCAGCGGGCACTTCCTGTTTTCTTTTCGAGAAAATGGATTGGAACTGGGAAAGATGTTAGACATAGGACGATTGTGGGTGGAGGGCTGGGTGGGAGGAGGTTTGATCCGCTCAGTAATTTGACAGCAGCCAGTTGGCTGCATTGGAAATTTCTGTTTCAGGCATTTTGATTCCTGAAATGTGAGTTTCTTTACTTCGAGAGTTAGAGCTAGTAAATCTAAACTTTCATTTCAGTGTATCTCAAGATTACATGTAGGGTTTTTGTTGGTGGTGGTGTTTGTTTTTTAATTATATCGCACACAATTTAAGAAACTGAAATAATTGCCGACCTTCAGAAAAATCCTCTTTACCAGAAGATGTTTTCATTCCTAAAAGGTTCTCCTAAGGTGAACAATAGAGAGTCAGTTGTGTCGCCTAGAGGCGGCGGTGGTGTTATTAGTTAGCTGCACGGTTCTCAACAGTGAT